CAAATCTTGCAACCCTGCCAATACATTTATAATTGCTAATATCTGCTGATAACCCATATGGTAACAATATGTTGTGCATCCTTACAAATAAAACGGAGAATTTTCGACAAGCTTGGTTAGAGTGACTTAATAACCCAGAGGGCATGCTCTGTACCAGTGCTTCTCAAAAAGTTTTGCTTCAGGACAAAGTGGTAATCCAACACATTTTTTGGGTCGCAACCCATCAGTTGAGGGCCACTGGTCTGTACTACCCCATCTGATAGACATGATGCTCATGTGATGGAGAACGGGCATGTTCTTGTTCATGTTCATGGCATGTGCCCATGCATGTGGCTTGCGTTGGCATTGTGAAATGCTGAACATGGCAGCAGCTTTTCCCTCAGCATCGTGCTTTACCTTCAGCTAAAAAAATAGAGAAAATGGCTTTGTGCACTGGCAAGCTTTTTGGTTAACTAGGCTGAATGCTGGCATTGGACTTACTTTTCCTTTTATGTCCAGGTATGATTCTCTATAATGGACAAAAGAAGACCACCGGTGCTGACTTCTTATCTTTTGGATTAGTGGGGGGCCGTCCTGAATTCAGGTGCATTAATCTTCAATATCAAAGCAATCTTAAGGATACAAAATTTCATATCTGAAACTAGATTAACTTTGGCTTTTTAATGTGATGTTCCAAATGTGCATATTTTCCTTCCACAGGTTTGATGTAGGCTCTGGTATGGCAACTATTCGTTACCCTACTTCCATTAAACTGGGCGAGTTTCACACAGTGAAGCTGTATAGGAATGAGACTCGGGGCTCTCTTGTTGTGGATGGAGAAGCTCCTATAAATGGAACCTCACAGGTGCATATTCCTCTCTCCATAATTTTCTGATATGTTATGCTTTCTTATTAATAAACCATGTTAAATGGTATTATAGTGGCGATTAAACAAATGTAGTATAACATGTTCTGTGTCCGACCAGGGAAAATTCAAGGGTCTGGATCTGAATGAGGATCTTTTTGTGGGCGGTTATCCAAACTACAGCATGCTTGCTAAAACTGCAGGCCTCAAGACAGGGTTTGTCGGTGAGAAAACCCTTGTGTTATGTGAATTTTGTAGGAAAGTGTCAGTTGTAGTGTTATTGTCATTTGCATTCTTACACTGAGTTTTGGTCTTTCTTCAAGGCTGTATCAAGCAGCTGATTATCCAAGGTGAAGAGGTCATTTTCAAGGACCTTGATAAAAGTTCCACCGGAGTTTCAAATTGTCCCACTTGCAAGGATCGCCCATGTCAGGTAATCGTTTACAAACAAAATTGTCCTTTGAATTCAAAAGTACAGTGACCCAAAAAAGTATTTGAACACTTTTCATACAAAAGTATCAAATTAAGTAGCATCTAGAACTCAGGACTTGCATGACTTTTCTTGGCACTTTTAAACAACCACAGTGATCTTAAATGGACAATTTTTTGGGACCAGTGAATGCATTTTTTGTGGTTGGCCTGTGAAAATCGATTAGCTAAAGCAATGCATGTGTTTCAGAATGGTGGCGTATGTGAGGACTCTGCCGCCAGTCTCTACAAATGCAGTTGCCCAAGAGGATTCGCAGGAAGCAACTGTCAGCATCACTCTTCCTTGCACTGTCACACAGGTCAGCATTTATAAAATCAGGAACAGGCTTTGTAAACAACATGCTTGATTAACTTTTTTGTTCATTATTCTTTTTTCCTATGACTGCAACAGAGGCCTGTGGACCAGATGCCACCTGTATTAACCGACCCAGTGGTTTGGGCTACGATTGCCGATGTCACTTGGGCAAGTCTGGAAACAAGTGCATGGATGGTAAAGCTCAATATCCAGTCACATTTAAAATTTTCGAACTGCTTTAAGGTCGAATGTGGTTCTCACTATCCCTCTTCGTGACAATCCCAGGTACTCTGGTAACAACTCCATTGTTTGATGGCGACGAGTCTTATATTGCGTATCCTCCTCTTACTAATATTCATAACGACCTCCGGATTGAGATGGAGTTCAAGCACATGGATTCAGATGGACTGATGTTCTTCAGCGGAGGCAAAAAGATGAAAGTGGAGGACTTTGTGATGTTATCCATGGTGGACGGACATGTCGAGTTCCGATATGAACTTGGAACAGGTGAGCGATCTGATGATCAAATCATGATGTATTATTTGCAAAAAATTTGTATTTATTTATGTATTTAATTTTTTGTGCACATGCGTCATGGTCATTGAAAGAAACCAGTGTTATTTCAGTGTTGTTGACGTAATATTATAGTTTTTGTTGATATTTTGTATTAGTTTTTTTTATATTTTCTTTTTTTTAATTTTAGTTAAAGTTTTAGTAGTTTAGGTAAAGTTTTAGTTAAAGTTTTGTTGTGTTTTTGTCGTGTTTATTATTATTATTATTATTATTATTATTATTATTATTATATATATATATTTTTTTTTAATGGCTAAATGGTATAGTTTTGTTTTCAGGGTTTTTTTGATTTTAGGTTTTTGTTTGTTTGTTTGTTTTATATGTTCAAGGTTTATTTAATACTTTTATTTTATTTCACTTGATTTTTATTTGATTTCAAGTAATTGAAATGTTTATTTTTTATTATTCTTATTTTAGTTAACAATAATAACCCAGAAAAGAAGGGCTTACTCTTGGGAAAAGGGTGATCATCACCCTCAAGAGGTTAAACTAAATATTGTATTAATATGAAATTGTTGATTTTCTATTCATTTGATGTAATGTTTACAACCCTCTTACCCAAATGTTGGACACCAAGACCCTGAGTTGTGTGGTTTTATTTTTTCATAGCACTAAACATTAACATTAAACAACTAAATTAAATGGCTTAAATGTAGAAATATAGAATTCAAGAATTTAATAATTTTGCATAATTTCGCACACATAGATATAGATATATAAAATATATCATATATATCATGATATATTAATATAAAAGTATTTTTTAAATTATTTTTTAAAAATTAAATAATTTAATGAATTTACATTTTTTAAAATTAAATAAACCTGTAGATGTACAGTACAATTCTGTCCAAAAAAACAACAAAAAACAAAAACAGATTTGTGCCTCTAATTTTGTGCCCCCTTTCCCACCTAAAAGGTCTTGACCTTTCAAAAAAAATTTATTTGACACCAAAATGAAAAGTACCTCCTCACCTTAGTGCAATGTAACCTTACAGATAGTGAAACCTAGAAGCGGAATATAGTGGCTTGTTCCTATCCTGTCCAAGCTAAATATACATGCTCCCCCCCATGTTCTCAGGTCAAGCAGTTCTGCGCAGTCAGGAGCCCGTGTCTCGGGGTCAGTGGCATCGCGTGGTGGCAGAGCGGCTCAATAAGGACGGCTCCTTGAAGGTGGACCATGCACGAGAAATCACAAGATCGTCTCCAGGCAAGGCCCAGGGCCTTAATATCCACACACCCATGTATCTGGGAGGAGTGCCCAGCATGGACATCTTGCCCAAACCTGCCAATGTTAGCATGCTGTTTGTTGGATGCATAGGAGAGGTGAGAATGGCCTTCACACTAAGTGTTGTGTTCATTACAGCCCACAGTCATGCATTGATATTAAATAGTTTCATATTGGCTTTGTTTTTCTTTACAGGTCTTCATCAATGGAAAGAAGTTGGATATATCATACAGCTTCACTGAAAGCAGAGCCATCAGCCAGTGTAAAGATGGCAGCCCATGTGACCGCAGGCCTTGTCTGCACAGAGGCACCTGTATGGCCAGTGCTGAGTACGAGTATCAGTGCCTCTGCGCTGAAGGATACGAGGGTAAGTCACTTAACCAACTCGTATTTGTGTTTGTATTTAATGTTGGTATTGATATTGACTATGGTAGTACTTGATACTGGAAAGAAGTGGGTTCACCCATCCCTATTTTTAAGGTAATAAGGAAGTCTCTGAAATCTTCTTCCATAAATTTTATTTCTGATAATTGTTGTTCAATCCAAATTGATTCCATATTTTCCATTTCTTGCTTGTTGTTCCTCAGGTGACCGTTGTGAAATAGTGAGGGAGAGCTGTCGAGACTCCTCTCAGTGTCAGAACAGTGGCAGCTGTGTGAATAACCACTGTGTGTGTCCCGCCGGCTACACAGGCCGGCACTGTGAGAAAGGTTAGTTCACAGCTGCTAGATGTTTAACACAATGTTTTGCAAAAATCTTCTTGTATGTGATTTTTGCCTTCTGATTAGTGACTGCATTGATACACGTATATATATTGTACATTTATTGTTATGTGTTTCTATATTGTACATTACTGTCAGCTCTTTGCACCCAAAGACCACTTTATCTTTAAGGACATATTATAAGTAGAGAATGGTGCTAGTTATAATATTTCTCGATGTAGGTTTATTTTTGAAAAACACACGCTTTAGTCTTGGGCAGAATAGAAGTTAATGTACATTTTCACTGTTATTGCCCATGACAAAAAAACAAAACATTCATCAAACCGATACAGTTGACTTGTGATCCAAATAGCTTTATGAGCATAAATATGACGTTTAAATGTTAGTTTGGAGAATTCACAAGTTTTAAACTAGCCCAGTCTCACATACTAGTGTTATTTTTTTATTATTTATATACTAATATATGATTTATTAATATTTTCATTTAGCTTATGTTTGATTTTGAGTTTTTATTTTAATTTTAGTTTGTTTTAGCTATGTTATGTGCTTTTATCATTTTATTAGTTTTTTATTTCTATTTAGCTTTATTTCTATTTTAGTTTTCATCATTTTTTTTACTTCAACTTATTTAATTTTACTTAGATGGCAAGGCAACAATTAAGTTTTTAAGTATAAATTTTTTTATGTATTTCATCCAATATTTATATTTTATTTCAGCTTTTTTCAATTAACAAAAATAGTTTTTAATAGTCCTATACATTTATTTTACATTATGTTTTAAATGTTGTCATTTAACATCTATGGCGATAAACATACAGCTAACTAAAGCCAATATGTGTGCAATGTGAATTTAAATTGCTTTATTATTCATTCTGATGATGATGATATATTGGCCTCTTTAGACATGGTTTGCCTCGTTTGTCATTTTACAGAATTCACTATCTGTGGGAATAAAGGCATTTCTCAGTAGTTTCATAGCATTAAACTGAACCACAGCTGTAAGTGATTCATCATAAAACACCATAGGGAAATAATTGTCGGTTCTTCGTAACGTACCGTGGCGACACCGGTCAGGCTGCCTAACGTCATCCAGCAGTAGCGTGTTGACCGGTGAAAGAGGCCACATGTGAATGAATCTCACCCCTGCACTCTCATGGCTATCCCACGCACACAGGGCAGGAGTCCAGCTTCACCGAGGCGCTGTGGAATTTGGAGGGTAATGGGGGAAATGGTACAGTATGACTACAGTCTGCCTGACACGCTCGTCACTAACCAGGGGAGAGCGTCCTCCTCGGGGCCCATCAGCCCATCTAACAACACAAATAAAACAACCACAACAAACGGCCTCAATGTGGGGACAAAAGGAAGCCAGAAAGTGAATAATTTTAGGGGTCTGTTTACAGAGCTCTTAATTACCAACATCTGAGGCAATATCAAGCACATTTCTAATCAACAATACAGATGAGGAAAATTATTTTTTGAAATGCATTTAAATTCATTGATATTGTTGAAAAAAAAATCTGGTTACACTTTTCTTGAAGGGGTGTGCATAAGACGGACATGACACCTTCATAATCATGACATGACACCTACGTAATCATGACACGACACATGTCATGAGTATGAAGGTTTTTTATGCATGTTTATGACAACTGGCATTAAGTGTCATTCACTCCGTTATGTAATTTTTAATGCAAATATGACATTGTTTGAGATGTCTTTGTTATGGGCTATGGTTAGGGGTAGGGGTAGGGTTAGGTTAGGGTTAGGTCAAATAATGTCATATTTACATTAAAAATGACATAACTGAGCGAATGACACTTAATGACAGTTGTCATAAACATGCATACAACCTCCTTCATATTCATGACATGTGTCATGTCATGATTATGAAGGTGTCATATCAGTCTTATGCACACCCCTTCAAGTAAAGTGTTACCAAAAATCCTTATTAAAATCATCTTGAAAATAAATTTATCCTGATAAAAATAACTCAAAACTTGTAAATAAAAAATAAAAATAAAAAAGTGTAAGATACATTTTTTTAAAGATTTTTCATGTTATGAGCATAAATATCTAAATGCAATTATTTTTCTAGTATATTTAAACTGCCATTCAAAAGTCTGAGACTTTTGAAAAATCTCAGCTTTTTAAAAAAATGCATTAGAAAACATTATTCTAACTTGTAATAACATTTCATAATATTTTTGATCAAATAAATGCAGCCTTATTGAAAAGAAATCTTCAAAATATCTTACCGACCCCAAACCGTTGAACAGTAGTGGATGTATATTAATGTATTTAATGCTGTAATGAATATCTAAGAAGTGCTTGATGTCGCTGAAAATTTTCTTAAACAAAATAAAAATGTATAACAGCTTATTGATACTGTTGTCTTGTAAATAGATCCCTGAAATATTGTGCTTTCAAAAGGAATGGTCTCAATCTGCACTCTGCACTCAATTGGTTACTGTGTCCTCTGTAAAGTTTTAAATGTAATGTTGAGGGGGAATTCTGTGTCTTCTCTGTGATACGCTTAAAGTTTATGGTAGTTTTAGCAGTTTTTCTGGGCAATATTAAAATTATGACAGTTGCAAAGCTGTGACATTTTCTTAAGGCGAACATACATAGAATTCCCCTTTAGCATCTCCTGAGGCGTCTTGTCCAGTCAACTTCTCGCTGCAGTTTCAATTTGTCATCTCTTTCTCATTAAATCAACAACCAACATCTTTTCCGCACTTTCACCTACAGCGACGTCTGTAAACAAAATGTCCTCACACTGTGAACAAACACGTTTTTAGTTACTAACCACCGAATGTCCGTCATTTACACACTTGAGCCGACCGGACAGGTGAGTTTACAGCCAGAAACACTGAGCATGAAGCACTTCTTGGTAAGCACTCAGTTGCCTGAGGGTTCTCCGGTTATTACATGGTTCAAGAGAATGCTTTGTGAGGAATGCGTATTGTTGTTCCCAACTGTGAATGTTACCTTGACAGCAGTGTGTATTTGCATTCATTTTCATTTATCTCATGAAGACTTTTTCTGAGTTGCCCTTGATGATTGTACTGTATGTTTTTCACAATGAAGCCTGCTATTTGGAGTCTCACATTTATAACTTATAAAATAAATAGTAATTCATCAGATCAGATGTGAGTTAATGTAGTCAGGGGGTCAGTTCTGTTCATTGACTGCTTATTCTGTTATTTGGTGAAGCTCCACAGGGTGGTAGTATAACAGAGTTGGCATCTGGGATTTATTTTTTTGGTTTCTGTTTTCCAGACTCTCCGATTGAATATTCTGCATATTTCCATGGTAATGGATATCTGGCCCTTCCAAAGCCAATTTTCCCACGAAGGTGAGGGCCCTTCATATGTGAAACAGTTGATGAACTGTGTTTGGTGTTTGTTTAACTGGTGTAATTATACAAATTCAGCAGTTTTTACCACAGAAAATCATTTTGGCTCGTCTCTTAGCTTGTAAAAGCAAACAAAAATCTTTTTTTTTTTTACTATTGATGGTTTGATTTGTTTCAGTGCTCCTGACTCTCCAGAGACCATTGAGTTAGAGATCAACACTGTCTCTAAAGACTGCCTCATCATGTGGCAGGGAGTGGTACGTTTGTACACATGAGCCCCCTACTGGATCTCAGGACACATACACTCAGGGTCAAAATTAATAACATTTACTGTTAACTTAAAATAACTCAATTTTCATAAACTAAAATAATTATTTGGTATATGTATGTGTGTGTATATGTACCTTAAAATAGTTGCAATTTAAGGTCCCGTTTATTCATTGTTAATTTTGGACCCTGCATACTCTCACATTCTGATACTGTATGCACAGTGTGTTTTACATTTCATATTCAGCCTCATTTCACTAAACTGAGTAAAATGAGTTTGCTTGGAGCTGTTTTGGAATATGCTTTTGTCCCTCACCTCTAAAGCACATTTTAATGGCTGCATTGCATGTTTGCCTGGTTAACTCACCTTCATCCTCCTCAGGAGCCTGCAGGCGCTCTAAGCCTCCATAAGAAGCATGCTAGTATAAAGGTATTCCCTCTTCACAAGCAGTCAGACATACAAATATGTCTGTATTAGCATGGATATGTCATTATCTCTGAATATATACAAAGGAGCTTTGAACTTTACAACACTTGCACAGATAAACATTCAGAAAACAGCACTTATATATACCTTTGATCACTTATAGTAGACTAACGGCTGGCACAGTTCCTCAAGTTATACACAGTTATAAATTAATCGCGAGTAAACAAATGGAATGTCACTGCATTTATTGTTTGCATGTGTTAGTGTGATTTAAATGTTTGCTCTTTCTTTATGCCAGTGATTCCCAACCCTGTTCCTGGAGCAAATTCCAAGCAAAATACTGTTTCATGCTAAATGTGCAATGTCACGGGCTCCAGGAACAGGGTTGGGAACCACTGATTTATGACATAATAATTAGCCTTATGCTTGCATATTTATCACCTGCTTTTACACCTGTTCAATCAACACACCTGTGTATCCAACAGTTTATGACATACATTTACACTTCTCACAAATAGGGTAAAAAAAATCGTTTTTTGTTAAGTTTTGTTGTACAGTCAACCATTTCTGAAGGTTTTTTTACCTTTCGAAATTGTTGACCGTTAACAGCTATATGTTAATGAAAACCATATTTTGTGAATGAAACGTCTCCTTCAGTGGATTGAAATTCAGCAGATTGTCATACATTTGATGTGTTTAAAACCAACTAGTAGGGTTTTTTTTCTGGACTGTTTAAACTGTGCCTTTTGGTCATGTTATAACTAATATTATACATAAGAGAAATGTTATTCGTAGAGACATCTTCATCAATACACACAACTGTTTAAATGTTTGGCTCCAGAAGCCTGTGGTTTACATCCATATTCCCTCCCAATGACTCGGAGAGACTGACTTGAATATTTCACTGAAAATGCTTTCCAGGAACTGGGAGGTCAAGGAAAGGGGAAGGACTTCATAAGTCTTGGTTTACAAAATGGACATCTTGTGTTTAGGTGAGTAATAAGCACATTTTCATACTAACAAGCCACATGGGTACATGGCTTAAAAGTCTAATGTGAGGACAGTATAATAACCTGGAAATAGTTTGAAATATACACAAGATCTCATGACTTCTGTTACTATGGTTCTTTGCTGCAGCCAGTATGTTTCAGTTTCTTACCGATCTAGATCAGTCCTTTGTAGCTGGTCATAATGTGCTCTTATTCCTCTGATAGTTACCAGCTGGGCAGTGGAGAGGCTCAGATTCTCTCCAGAGAGCCAGTCAATGATGGACAGTGGCACATGATCACTGCAGTCCGGTAACGCTCCTTACCTCTCCAAACTGTTGGCTCCAGAAGCCTGTGGTTTACATCCATATTCCCTCCCAATGACTCGGAGAGACTGACTTGAATATTTCACTGAAAATGCTTTCCAGGAACTGGGAGGTCAAGGAAAGGGGAAGGACTTCATAAGTCTTGGTTTACAAAATGGACATCTTGTGTTTAGGTGAGTAATAAGCACATTTTCATACTAACAAGCCACATGGGTACATGGCTTAAAAGTCTAATGTGAGGACAGTATAATAACCTGGAAATAGTTTGAAATATACACAAGATCTCATGACTTCTGTTACTATGGTTCTTTGCTGCAGCCAGTATGTTTCAGTTTCTTACCGATCTAGATCAGTCCTTTGTAGCTGGTCATAATGTGCTCTTGTTCCTCTGATAGTTACCAGCTGGGCAGTGGAGAGGCTCAGATTCTCTCCAGAGAGCCAGTCAATGATGGACAGTGGCACATGATCACTGCAGTCCGGTAACGCTCCTTACCTCTCCAAACTTATAGAAAGCATGACAGAAAGATAATAGTGAGAGTTCTTTCTGTGTGTTGAACAGAACGGGTAAGCAGGGCTACCTCCAGATCGATGGAGGATCTGTCCAACGTGGACAATCACAAGGCAAAAGCATCATGGTGAACACCAAGGGCAACATATACCTGGGTAAGTATAACATTACAGTGGTATTTGTTTACTTGTATTGATCAGATTGTTGTTTCACTCTTAACATCCATGAAGTGATGTAGACTATGTAGATGTTGTTCTGAAAAAAGTTTTTTTTAAAGAAATTATATAAATAAATAATAATTCTAAAGAAAACACTACTGTTTGTAAAGTTTGGGTCAGTAGGATGTTTCATTTTTGAAAGAGATGAATACTTTTATTCAGCAAGAATGCATTAAATTGATCAAAAGTGAACGTAAAGACATTTCATAATTTAATAATAATTAATAATTTATGCATTTAGTAGATGCTTTTATCCAAAGTGACTTACAGTGCATACATTTTTTACCAGTATGTGTGTTCCCTGGGAATTGAAAAACATAAAATCTTAAAAAATGTTATAGTTTAAAGATCGTTTAAAATCGTATTTCTATTTCAAATAAATGTAGTTCTTCTGTCCTTTCTATTTATCAAAGAATCCTGAAACAAATGTATTAGTTTCCACAAAAATATTTAGCAGCATGACTGGTTTGAACATTGATACCAATAAGAAATGTTAGTTAAGCACCAAATCAGAATGATTTGAAGGATCATGTGACACTGAAGACCTGTGAACATAAGAGACTTCTTTCGAAAACATTTAAAAATCTTATGAACAGTAGTTCAGTATTTTTTTCTTGTCTTGTTTGGTGCATAAAACATGGGGAAATTATTATATTTTCAAATATCCTCTCTTTAGAGGGCATTAGCATTTATTACAAAAATGAATTTAAGACTAAAATCTAGGCAAAAATATTAATTTTCATTCACATGCTTTTCTTAAACATATCCTAACATGAAAAAAAATCAAAACTATTATTTAATCGTTTTTTTTAATTCATAAGACTTCTGCTAAACATAGAGTAACCAAACTTTGCACATAGTTTCTCTTACCTGATTTATTCACACAACCATCTACATAAAAATCATGCCCTAAGTTTGGATGCCCCCTACAGATGACACATAGAAATGTCTTTTTCTTGTAAAAGAAACTCATAATCATTTGATTCGGACATAAGGTTGTTGGTATTTGGACTGTAGGTGGAGCTCCAGACATGAAAGCATTGACCGGTGGGAAGTACTCATCAGGTATCACAGGCTGCGTGAAGAATCTCTCTCTGATGAACGCTCGACCGGGAGAACAGCCAGCGCGACCTATCGACCTGCAGGTCCACGCAGAGGAGGGCATCAACGTGGAGCGCTGCTTAACATAGACGCAGTACTAAAACACTAGCAGAGACTACAGAAAAAGACCCCTCATCCACATTCACACTGAGATGCTTACAGGACAAACAACAGTCACACTTTAAGAGACACACTGACACGTGTTTCTTGGTGCTTCACCGCAACCGAAAAAAACACACAAGAAAGGATTCTTTGCTCTGTGCTGCGTTAAACCAAAAAACGAGAAAGAAAAAGTTATGATATTAACAAGTCTTCAATTTTTCAGTGTTTTATGCTCAATGAAGGACTTATTAACACAGAAGCTCAGTTTACATACTCCGAACAGTAGCTTTATAGCCATGAGAAAAAGATGACAAAAAAGTTTCAAAATAAACGTGATGAGCCTTCTACGGTGGGTCAGATCCTATGGAATCGGAGATGTTTTTACAGCACTGAATTTTTATTTATAAGCATATTAATCTATATATATTATATTTGTGGGGGGAAATGCAAGCTAACAATAACCTGCTCATTTGTTTTCCTAGCAGTGATTCTAGGCTCTAATAATGCGTGTCTGAGGTTTTAGTGCCCGAGCTGTGTTAATACTTGAAGACTGTGCTGCCTTTTATTCTGTTTAAGGGCCAGTGGGGGCGAGCATGCTTAGATAACATAATGAATGGGTCTCTGTGGGGTCACAGCACAGAAGACGTCAAGAAGCATCTCAGGTGAAGAAAAAATACAAATTGGGAGATCATATATATACGGTGTCAACTGCATATATTTGAAATGACATGACTTCCATGCTTGGAAACATTGCTGTGTCTAGTAATATAAAAAAAACATATGGTGCTAAATTCAGACATGACAAAGGCAACAAAACAAGCACATAATCATAGTGTCAGTTTCTTGTCATTTTTGCTTCTCTGAATGGATTGTAAGAAATAAAAGCCGCAGCTTTACAATAAAATAAAACACTGTTTACTGATTGCAATCCCTCAAGCCAAAGTATTGAGACTGAAGTTCGTTTTAGATTAAAAGTGGATGTGTTCTCTCTAAATAGTGAAATATTTTGACATTATATTGTTTTTTTGTTGTTGTTTAATAACAGAATTAGAATTATTAAAATTCTTATAGTGGATGACAAATGTTACAGAAAATCACATAATTGAAAATCATTATTTTTACAGTCTTATCTATTTCTCACAGTTTTGCTGTTAACAACCACACTTACATATTATTTTGAATGATTGATTTGTATTGAGATGTCTTTTTCCATTACATTCATATTCTTTATGAGTCTTACAGAGTACATTGAACAAAAGAGGAAATGTGTGTCATCTTCAAGATCCTCCAGAGGGTTAATGGAGAACTGACTCATCTACAGCAAACCGTGAAGGATCATTATCTCAATCAGAATGTACTGGAAGAGATTCTTTCTGGTTGTTCTCATTGCATAGAGAAATGAATGTGAGAAGAGACAGAATAGAAGGTCTACAGTGAAAATACTGCCTAGTGAAACCCCTCTTTTATTAGTGCTGTGACTTGGAGCTCTAATGAACATGCTCACCCACATGGGCCAGACAGGGGTCAAAGGTCACTTTGGCCCCCTTGTGTCTTTTTCACCGTTTTATATGACTGAGGCTTGCCTGTTAATTTTCTTTTTAAAAAGGCGCATTACTGCTTAAAGTTGCTTTACTTTTATTATTATTATTTGATTCTGTCTTTTGTCATCACTGATTTCTGAGCCAGAAATGGCTTTAAAGCATGATCACACAAGCTGGTGTTTTTTTATATTTTTGTTCCTACTGCACCACTCGATCTGTGCTTTTGTGTTTGAATTTTGATATTGAGATCAAAGATGGCTGAGGAATCCAGTTCTGTCTCAATAGTGTACAATAATTTCCCACAATCTACATGACGTGTGAGTTCAGTGTTTGGCAGGCTGGAGCCAAAACCCTTTTAAAAAGTGGCTTTTCATGTCATTTCAACCCTGATGGCTGTAGGAGTATACTTTTCTTTGGAAAGATGAGTAAAAAGATTCCAAAGTAAGCATCTCTCTGACGTTATTTATTGAGGTTCATTGTTATTGCTGTTCTTAACTGATGTTGTAATTAGGGCTGCAAAGGGGTGGAACATTTCTGGTAAATTTTCGGAAGCTTTCCAGAAATTCCTGGAAGATTCCCAAAAAAATCCTCAAAAGTTTCCAAAGTTTCTGGAATATTTCTGAAATTTACTGGAAATTAAAACCCTAGTTGTAATACATTAAATGAAACACTCACCACACAAATCCACACTCAACTATAAACTTTAAATATTATGTTGAAGCATCAAGTTAGGGTTCCGGTGTTATGCTGAATTCTGTTTTGATAAAGAAACAAACTCATGTAAAACGTACTTTATGTTTGTTTTATTAACAAGTTTTAAAGCAGCACTATGTGACTTTTTCTGTGTTCAAAATCTGCAAAATGTATATAATGAGCGAGTACATCATGAATTAATCTTCCAAACCGCGTTTTTGTCTTATTCCGAATCACTACGGTACACTTATAATAAGTACTTATATTTGGACTATTGTAGCCTGGTCGGGTCGTCACCGCTGCGGAGTAACACATACCTGCGTGAATCGACAAAGACATAAACTTAGAGAAGTAGCTCCGGTTGGAAAATTACACTTCCGCGGGATGTGTGCAGTTCTGTTTATTAACCGCTAGAGCGTCAAAAGTTACATAGTGTTGAAAATATCAGGCTTGGCTGTTTATACACTTCCAGATGGTTCTGAATCTGCTGAAAGCTCGTCTTGCTTTGGCTCTGTTATGAGTGCCAGTGACGCTGCCAAGATGCATGAAACCATTCACATCCTCGACTGATTCTCTCAGTGGTAACTAGGTCAGAGACAGGAGCGTTGATACACCTGACCTGCGTCTTCTGCTTGTTTATGTGAAAGCATTTCTGCTCAGTCTATCTGTTTTTTCTCTCCCTGAACGTGGGTTCCTGGTTGTAGCAGTTGACACTGACAGCCTTTATGAGTGAGTCATTGAACATTCACTCTAACCGAAGCGTTCAAGTACATTCAGGAACGAAATGAGTAGGCCTAACTCTGTGAGTGATTCATCAAATCATTCACTCCAGATGCTTCGTTCATTCAAGAATAGAAAATCGTGTTATCACTCACTTGCAGTCGTGCTGTTGGTCTGAATATCAACAAACCTGCTGCTTAGGCGTTTCCATACAATAATGCTAATGATGAAATTAAATGTCAAGTTTGAAAAAAGAACAAAAGTCCTGATAAAACTGGTAGACTGCAACTGGCAAAGCAGTTTTCCATGATTTAACCAGACTTATTTCTGTTTTAGTATGACAGCAGAATGCTGCTGCACTTTCAAAAAGCGCAATTGCTAACAATGTAATATTGATCATTAGTATCTTAATTATAAGAACATCTGCTGTGTTATGTAGTTACATGGTGTTATTAGTTATTGAAAGAGTGCATAATCTGCATATTCATGTTCCTCTGTTTATAAGCTGTACGAAGTGGATAACACAGCAATTAATATGCTTTTTGAAACATTTTTTTTTTAAATTGATTGAATCTGATGAAAAGCAACATGTGCTGTTTCAGTACTGTGTTTTGAGAAACCTTTAAAGGGGTCATATGATGTGATTTAAATTTTTCCTTTCTCTTTGGAGTGTTACAAGCTCTTGGTGCATAACGAAGATCTGTAAAGTTGCAAAGACTAAAGTCTCAAATCCAAAGAGATATTCTTTATAAAAGTTAAGAGTCAACCATGTTTACCTAAAACGGCTCGTTCTAACACGACCCCACATATCTATGTCACGATGTGGGAAGATTTGCATAACACCGCCCAAATGTTCACGCAAAGAAAGAAGGCGTAACTTTGATTCTCGCTGTAGTATTGTTGTTGCCGCTGCCATGTTGTGGAGACGCTGTGTGTTTCGTTGTGAAAGCGAAACTACTTTGTTTGGCCTTACAAAAGAGGACGTGACTAGAAATCAGAGGTTAAGTTGTATTTACAAAACTGTTCCAGAACAGTTCAACCCAAATATTCAGATGTGTGCAGCGCATTTTATGGAGGAGGAGGACTGTTTCCTGGGAGACTAGACTACAATGCCGGTGTCTGTTTCTATAAAATGGGGCAATTCCAACTTTGCAAGGACAGTCTGGCGCTTCTGATTCACAGACCGTAAGTACGTTTTCATATTTAAAGAATTTGCCACTGACGATTCAAACGCGTGTTTTGAGCAGTGTAGAGTAGCGTTTGTCGTTTCTCCGATCACAAGTGCAGACATGGTTTTATGTTTACGCAGCACGATACGCAACGCAAAAAAGACAGTATAAGTCATTATAAACAGTAATTATGTCCCCACTGGATGCAACAAATGCCT